CTCTATTTGTCCTGATGACGTTTATCATGGATAACCTAGAATTGTTGTCACTGAAAGGGAGATGAGCTCAACAGTCTGCTGCTACTCCTTTCACTGTCCAATCACAGGCTGGGGGCGGGACCAGACCTGTAGGTGTTCCTGGACTGCAGGAAATAAAAAAACAGGTCCTGAGGCTGGGCTGCATGGCAGAACTGTACAAGGCCTGGATGGACATAAATCAGATCTTGAGGCTGATAATACTTATATAGTTATTTAATATCTGTGTATGAAGCTGGAGTTTAGCCTTCAGTAATCACATTTGGATATACTGTATTATATATAAAAAAAATATCCCCCTCAAGACCTTATGCTAGCATGTGAATAATAAATAACAGCAATGACCCCATCGATATTATCTTTCTTTTTTATAGTCTAATTGCTTCCAGAATAGCACAGTATACCTTGTGGTTTATCAGCTAGAACAGCGGGTACAGAACAGAGCCGTCATGGGGTCCTGGAGGTCAGGGAAATGGTAAACGGCCCACTTTGTGCTGTGACGCTCTGCGTCTTACATTATTATCCCGCTGTTCTCTTCCAAAAGGCTGTCTCATCCGATTTGTTGGAAGGTGTGCCCAGCCGTGCCCTCTCTGCAGGCAGAGCCAACCGCCTCCATTCATTCTATGAATAAACAATTAATTTTTACCCAATTAAAATCGGACCGATAATATGGCCGGGATGAAGTAAATAGACCCGTGCGTTTTGTTCTGAGTTAGGACATGCCAGAGCCTCGTTCCTGCCAGGATGCTGAGTGCGGTATTATCTCATGCTTCAACAATAAGCCCATTGTCCCGGGTTTGGATGACATTTCCAAAACCAGAGAGGCTCCATGTGTAACACAGTTTATCGATTATCTGACTATAAACTCAGATCCTAAATAGAGCGGCTACAAAAGGCACTTTCTTTACGGGACCTTTAGGCCCGTACAATATTCAGTCTTAAAATGACATCAAAGTCAAAAGGGTTTTAAGCGTTTTCAAAGGCTAATACAATCACTTACAATGGATGCTGCTCCTTGTTGTTTAAGGGCTTGTTCACACCATGTCCAGTGCGTTCCAGCACGGTTAGCGGCTGGAAGGCACTGGATCGCATACTGTGAAGTCTCCCTGCGTGAGGGGGCGTGGCTGCGATGAGTATAGCGTCCTACTTCTGCAGGTGGCAGTATAACCCAGTGGTCAAGATATTCTGATCTTCGCCCTGTCTTTCAATGAACGCACAGATAAGGAGTACAAAAATCCAGTTTTTCCATGTCTGCTCTTGGATTGGATGTGATGATAGGGTCCCTTTAACAACAGTAACAAATGCATTCTGCGCCTACATTATAAGTATCGCCGTTCCCATTACACAAATGGTATTCCTTCATACTTTTGATTTATGTTAAAGGTCATTTGTCATCCTTAGTTGGCTTCCGTGCCATAAATAACTAAAGTGTTTTTCTGTTACACCCAGCAAGCATTGACATTAAAATATTTCTTTCTGCGTGAGTTTGCCGGAGTTTACCACTCTCTTTGATCGGTTACCGATAACTAGAGACCGTGGAATTTTTGAAGCGTTTGTATCACCGAGTCATATATTTACCAGGATGAACTTTTTTAATGTTAATGATTTATTTTATGCCCCCCCTCACCGTCTTCTACTCAGTGATTAGTAAAGTCCTTTCACCGTCTTCGTTAAAAACTGTGACTCAGAACAAAGCAGGTTTTGCTACTATTTGTACCGGTTGCAATTAGTAGGTTTTTTTTTTCAAAAGAGAAGAGATGTTTTTCGGTAGACAAGTTTAAGGCCAATTATTGGCTGGATTTGTGGGAGGAGCCCCGCACATTTAAGCTCCCCCGTTTCCCCCACTCACCCGCCGGGGCGATCATGTCGTCCCACCCTCCCATACCTCTTCCATCGGAATTACTCTGAGTATGCCCCCTTATTTGCATACTGACCATAGTGACCGTGGCACACCTCAGGTCACGTTAGGTAGGGTCATCGTCTTCATGTTACAGGTACCAATCAGTGGGGCTCTGACTACAAGTAATATTTGTATCATTTTGCGTCCAGCTAATTAAACGTTTTCCGGCATGTATGTGTCCAGCGACTAGGACACCTGGCCAAATTTGCTGCATTGGCTCTTGTTTGAATTTCCTGCTGTGCTCCCTGGCTGCCGTCTCATGTCAGCGAAATTTTTGTGCTTTTTGGAGCACAAAACAGAGATTTCCATTCAAGTCTATGGAAACAGTTCATGCCTTTGCGATTCCTCACGCGTTAGAAATCGCCTGTCACGTAAAAAGGCGCAGGAGCTATTTCCGGACGGTTGTCGCACAGTTTGAGTCTCGTAGACAATTCTGTGCATTGACAACCGCGTTGTTTTCAAAGCAAAATCGGCCAAACAAAAACGCACGACAACCGTGCAAAAACAGCTCACCAACTCAATCGCCTCGCGATGCAGCCTACATAAGATACCCCTGTAGTAGCCTTACCCATCGCCACCCCACCACAATTTGCAAGGGTTAAATGCTCATTAAAGTAGTATTACACTCCCAAACCTTTTTCAATAATGACTCCAGATCAAATATTCATTGCCCAGCAAAGTATTTCTTTACATTTTTTCCCAAGCCGACAGTCAGCATGTTTCTGAAGAGCTCCAACTCTCTCCGCGCTGCTTCCCTGAACTTCCTGTCCAATACAAGATCACAAGGGACAGAGCAGTCACCAGCAGCTGTCCATCTACTGGCTTAGAGAAAGGTGGATAGAGGGAGGGAATTAATTGCCTTGCTGTGTCTGTGGAGACACACATAGCTTACTAGCACACACAAGGGTGGTTTCATAGGACCCTGCAAGGGAAAGGACCAGTGCTCAGGGACCTGCAGGAAACTAAAACTTTTAGGCCCGGTGCAGACCTGACGATCCGGGATTGTGCGTCCCAGGATTGCCCTGTCCTGCACAATTGCAGACAGTGATTGCCGTGCGGCATTGATTTCAATGGGGTGACATCCGCGCGGCACTCGCAGAAAAAGGTACTTTTACCTTTTTTGTTTGCAATACACAACGCGTGGCTGTTTAACCGGCGCAACTGGGGTGCCATTAGAAAATAATGGCACCCACAGCGTGATCTTCTGGGATGGGCGACTTTGTAACCATCCGGCAATCCGCACGGTATCGTGCACGGTTTCCGCTCGGTCACAGATTGCCTAGGTGTGCACCGGCCCTTAAACATCAAGGAGCAGCATCCATTGTAAGTGATTTGATCAGCATCTCACTTTAAGTCTAGGGTTAGAGGAAAAAACTCCAATGCTTCCCTGGCAGCCAACGCTCACCTTTTCTCTCTGATGCACCGGGTAGTGGACAAGCCCTTTACATACTCATGCAAAATGCAGGACTGCTGGTCCTGTATTGTACGTGATGATGTCATAGTGCGACCAACAGGTGGAGCGACGATGAGATGCAATTATGAGGACCTGTCACACAGTGGTGAGAAATAAGGAAAGTATTACAGCATATTCCTCTACCGCAGGTGTAGTCAACCTTGGCGCTTCCATGGTTTTAGAACTACAAGTCCCATGAGGCACTGCAAGACCCTGACAGGCACAGGCATGACTCCCAGTAGCTGAGGTATGATAGGATTTGAAGATTCAGCACAGCTGGTGCCTAGGTTGCCTACCCTTGTTCTACCCTTAAGGTGCCTATCGTACTTGATCGCAAGTACGATCTGCCTGTCCAAGATGGGCAGATCGTACGTTTTTTAAATTACTTTACAACCCTCGCAAGACAAAAGTCTTGCGAGGGTTGTAAAGTGTATGGGCACCTTTAGACTTAAAGGAGAACTATGGGGTCAGTGTTTTTCCCCATAGTTCTCCTTAGGGTAACGGGAGGACACAAACTAGCGTCCTTCCATTACCCTAAGCTCAGTATACCACGAGCTACAGCTCATGGTATACTGAGACGCCGGAGCGGATCCCGACGTAGATGACGGGATCCGCCCAGCTGCGTGAGTGACAGCTGGCTCTGCCTATCTAGAATCCAGCCCTCCCCCTGTCACGCCAGAGAGCTGTGACAGGATCGAGAGGTGAGCGAACGCCGGTATGTGTTCGCTCACCTCCCTATCTACTGAGCCGACCTGTGACAGTCTCATTGTCACAGGTCGGCTAGAACTATGAGGTGAGTGAAAAGCACTCACCTCATAGTTCTCCTTTAACGAGCATTTAACCCTTGCAGTGGGGGCCACTAGAAGGGCATTTTTTTTCTGCTGCCTGGATTGGGGATTTAAGGAGAATCTTTTATTATGCCTGTGGTCTTGATAGGGTGCCCCTACCCATTGACGCCTTCCCTGTGCACCTCTGGTCCTTTTTTAGCTGGGTGGGGGATTCATTCAATCCTTGTGTAATCTTTGTGTTGGCCCATGTTGGAGCTTACACAGGGAGAATTGTCTTTTCCCCCTATGTGACAGTGTTCAAGCCTAGGACAGTAAGTGAAGGAAGTCGCTTAAATGGGAACACAGCAACAAAAGCAGCGTAAGGAGGGATGTGAACTTCTGTCAGGCTTTTATAGCTCTGAGCGTCTCTGATGTTGTGTGGTTACCGAGAGAGGAAGTGAGAGAAAATCAGCCCCGTGGGGACACAGCATTGAAAAACATACTAAACCTTCCCCATTATGCTCAAAGCTAAAAAAAAAGCTTGAGTTCTTTTTTAATGAGCCGCCGTTTTGCCTAGCTTCCTATATTTTCTGATTTATTGATGTGATTTCATATTGACTCTCTGTGAGAATATCATGTATTTGTTCCCAGGATAGGAATGACATAAATCTTCCTCCAAATATTATTCTCCGGGTGTCATTTTTGATTCTCACATCCTTTCCACTAATTCCTTGTTCCTTTTGATCATATTGCAATAGTTCCTCTGTATTAAATTAGGGTTTCATAGCACACTCTAGATGAAAAGAGCGCTTTGAAGTGAGCTCCATGAAAAAAACAAGACCCGATGTATGAAGCCACCTACTTTCTGAATGAAGTCAGGCACAGCGTGCACAGCTCGGATACTAAAAGCTATGGCCACCCAACGGTGATTCTTCTCATTGGGTGGCTGCCAGTGTCTGTTATCATCAGTCACATTCTCCTAATATTCGGGGTTTTCCGAAAGCGAGATTTGTCTGCGAGAAGTCGTGGCTTTGCCCCCTTGCCACCTCAAGCAGAGATGTCTTACTTCATCTGCTGCATTCCCCGTCATGTCAATTATTTGAAAGTCTTGCCAGAAGGGCCTTTCATGATGGATGAAATGTATTTATTTATTTATTTAGTACAGGTATTTATATAGCGCCGACTATTTGCGCAGCGCTTTACATAGTTGCACATTCACATCAGTCCCTGCCCTCAAGGAGCTTACAACCTAAAGTCCCCATGTCACATACAGGGCCAATTTAGACAGGACACAATTAACCTTCCATCATGTCTTTGGAGTGTGGGATGAAAACGGGGTACCCGGATGAAACCCATGCAAGCACAGGGAGAACATGCAAACTGCTTGGGTGACTGAATGTCACTTTAACATTTCAACATCCATGGTAATTACATTTTGGAATTATGAAAATATTAAATTGAACCTCACCTGGTCTAAAAAAGATATCAACAGCTGGTGTGTAGGGACTGTGTAATGCCTGCTCGTATTCACATCAATCCGTGAATCTCTGTGGATCCCCTGGAATATCGGCATGGCTCCCAACTGTCCCTTATTTGGAACAAAATACTGTCCATATACCCACCGCACTCAGAGCCGCTGTTCCATTAATGTAAAGTGGTTGCAATGGTTGTTGACGGATGGCTACCGCCTAGATACATGAATAGAAGAATGGACACCGGCACTCCAATGACAAATCAAGTATGCCTATGTATTGGCGTACATGCTGCATGGAAAAATACACTTTGTGCAATGTTTCGGGGTCACACAGGAACCCCTTCATCAGGCAGAAACAAGGCCTCACTTATTTCCTTCTGATGAAGGGGATCCTGTGTGACCCCGAAATGGTGCACTAAGTGTATTTTGCTATGCAGCATGTACCTCAATAAATAGGAGTACTTCATTTGCCATTGGAGCGCCGTTATCCATTCTTCTATTCTTATGTGGAACAAAGTCCCTCCATCCCTCATGCCTCGTCAGTTGTCCCTCTTTTTGGTCTATATGTATAGACCTTTCTAACAGCCTTTCTCAACCAGGGTGCCATGACACCCTGATGTGCCTTCTGGCTTCCTCTGGGGTGCCTTAAAATGTTGTGGTAGTGGAAATGAGGTGAAGGGGGCTCCTGATGTAAAGGGGACCTCTGATGTGAAAAGGGGGGCTCTGATATGAAAGAGTGGCTTCTGATGTGAAGAGGGGGGCTCTTGATGCAAAGGGTGACTTTGATGTGAAGAGGGCCACTTCAATGGGAAAGGGAACCAAACTTTTTTTGTGAGCTTTGCGTGTGGGTCCCCCTTAATATGTATCACATTTTGGATTGGGGTGCCTTGAGATTTTGCATACTTTTAAAGGGTGCCATGACTAGCAAAAGGTTGAGAATGGCCGCTCTATAATAAATGCACAATTTGACCATCAAAAGTGTTTTACTACGCTAAACCTTTCATCCAGCTTCTAACCTATTCAATTTTTTATTTGTAAAAGTCAATACAAAGGTAAAGCACTGGTAAAAAAAAAAAAAGTATTTTAGGCTTTCTGTGTGTATTACTTCTTCTTTCTGTGTGTTTTTTGTGTATTAATTAATCACTGTCCATGTAATGGGGGCATGGGAGGGGTGTGTCCTCTGCCTATATATTTTTTGTAAATAGGTGTCCCATCTCACAAAGTTGGGAGATACGTATAGGACCCAGGCTGTGCATGGAGACTTGACTTTTGTCCAAGTCATGGTTAAACCCCACCCCTTCTTGATGCCAAACCCCACCCCAAGTATGTAGAACAATCAAAACTTTGGCAGAAGGTTACCCTTCCTCACTCTACTACTGCTGTGTCCTTGCTGGAGAGATTTCCCACTACTTCCTGTCCTGTCCTGAGGGGAAATCTCTTTAACAGGAACAAAGCCAGCAATAAAAAGCAAAGGCTGTACCCCTTCCATTCAAAATGAGTTTTGACCAGGGGGTGAGGCTTGAAGGAGTAAAATAATTTATGCAGAACAATGCTGCCCTATGGACATATACAGTCAATAAGTTTATCTTCTTCTAAAGTGATGTACACCCCCAAAGAAGATAAAAAAAAACCCAAATGATAACTTTGTTGTAGGTAGTACTCTTGCCTTGCAGCACTCAATCATGGGTCAAGTTATACCTTCAGGGACACTATCTGCATAAGTATTTATTTCCTATACTCCTCAGTGCCATCTAGTGGCAATAATGTGGTATTACATTACATCGGACCGGAAACGAAAATATACTAACAATGTTTGTTTTTGTATCCATTGGCACAGAACGAACATTCACAGAGATTCACAGGGTGAATGGCTCTGCGAATTGTTAATAAATACACCCCTTGGTGTCAGAAGGTAGAACATCAATATAAAAGGAAGGATTATGGTATGCAAGTTCATGCCAGGATCACTAGCATGACCGTGGCCTAAAAATGTCAGTGCTAGATCAACAGGAAGGTGGGTGGTAACAACCAAGAAGTAGGCGAATAATGTTTGGTGGTGCATACAGATTGTGATGTTCTGTTCTATATTTTTTGCAGTAAAATACATGCGGGAGGCCACGCCTTATGTGAAGAAAGGGTCTCCTGTTTCGGAAATTGGCTGGGAAACCCCTCCCCCGGAATCGCCACGGTTGGGAAATTCATCCGCCTGTCCACCGTCACCCGTATCATCACCTGTTCATGGGGACAGAAAGACCATCCCACTCAAGATGTGCTTTGTTACAAGAAGCCTGACAGTCTCTGACCCTGAGAACAGGTAGGTTCCTGTAATTACCACCTATACACATTTATACCGCATATATACAGTATATATATACCTGCCTGCATTGCTTAGCTAAGCACAGAAACCCAGTGGACACCCTGCTATTGAAATTATTAGATTGTATCTAATAATTTCAATAGCATGTTGTGGGAGGGGGTCAAGAAGGAGCCAGGGAAGGCAAAATATTAGCAGATGAAACTTCAGCTTTTTTTTTTTAAATGTAAACATGTGTAAATACTTTGACTTTGACTTGCTTTCAGCCTCTTTAGTCCCTGTACAGCAAAGCTTTGTTTGTTAGTCTTTATATCGGTCCCTGAATTTCTGTTGGTCCTCTTAAATAATGGTCCCTGGCTGTTCATGGAGACTTGACTTCTGTCCAAGTCGAGGTTAAACCCCACCCTTTCCTTCTGCTAAACCCCACCCTTTCCTTCTGCTAAACCCCACCCTTTCCTGCTGCTAAACCCCACCCTTTCCTGCTGCTAAACCCCTCCTCTTCCTACTGCTAAACCCCACCTCTTCCCACTGCTAAACCCCACCTCTTCCTACTGCTAAACCCCACACCTTCCTGCTGCTAAACCCCTCCTCTTCCTACTGCTAAACCCCACCTCTTCCTAATGCTAAACCCCACCTCTTCCTACTGCTAAACTCCACTTTTTCCTGCTGCTAAACCCCTCCTCTTCCTACTGCTAAACCCCACACCTTCCTGCTGCTAAGCCCCCCTTCTTTCATTAAACTTTCAGTTGGCAAAACCTCTACTGCACATTCATTTACATTCCGAACTGCATTCAGAAGTCCAAGTACAGCCAAGCTTAGTTTGTTTTTATTTCATCTTTTAATAATAAAAATAATGAATTTTTGCTTTAAGGCAACAACAATAAGTAGTACTTACTCCATGGTGCTACATCCTATCAAGGACAATGGCCTCCTATATAGGTTTAGAAACACTTAACAAGATGAATTTAACCCCCAACCTGAAGCCCAGGGTATCCCTTTATGTCCGGGTGAAGACCTCCCCAGAGTAGGTGGCCCTATGGACAGCAATATTATTGGCAGCTTTAGGGGTCAATTGACCAAGATATCCGCACCACTACATCAAGGTAGGGCTACCCTCAATAAGTAATGTAAAAAAAAAAATGTTCACCGTTCAGTGTTGGGTTCTTATAAATTGCTGATTGTTCTCTTTGTACAATTCATGAATCTACATGAAGAATATGTGAATTAGGTGCAGCGGTATTGGAGATGAAGGAGATTGTACATAGTACATCACTTCAGACAGAGGACACAAGAAGGTGATAATTAGCATTTCCAGGACAGGCTTGGTGCTTTAACAGACAACAAAAAAGTGGGTCGAGTAATGTTTACAAGGTATCGGTATGCTAATCTCCAAATTCCGTTCATTATTTAATGTGGACATATAAACAAGGAGCAGCCATTTTCATCAGAGCATTCAAGGCTCAAAGTATACCTGAGGACAAAACATTTTTAGGGGAGGAAGGATTGGAACCCTTGTCAAGTTTTTTTTTTTTTTAATCACTGTGTGTGTCTTGCTGGGGGCATTTATTAAATAATTATAACTAGGAATGAGCTCAAATCTGTACAAGGATGTGCCAGGGGCACTTCCACCCAATCAGCTGCGGACCAGCAATTTCCCAGCCCAGTGCTGCATGTAAACAAAGGGGTGGGATGCTTGTGCTGACATTTTTGACTTATAGGTCCACATATTCATATTAGGTAAATGTAATTTGCCAAATATAGGCATGCAGGCATATAAGGTCAATGACATCACTGATCCCATCCCTTTGCTTACGTCAAACTGCAAGCGAAGAATTCCAATTGGGCGGCACGGAAGGAGCTTCCTTCCGTGTTCAGGAGGAGCTCGGGTTCAGTCTGGGTCCTGTCTGAATCTGAGCTAATCCCTACTGGTGACCATTGTCCCCGGGATTGACATTGAGGAAAATGTAAAATAATGGGAATATTTTCCAGTAGGGACAACTGTACTTGCTAGATTGGAAATGTCTTTTCTATGTGTCTGTTACAGGTTTTGTACAATAAATATGTCCCCCCCCCCCCCCCCC